TGCTGGCGTTTGTTTTGTGCTCGAAGAAATAATTCACAGGTGAGGGCTGTGGAGGGATGCTCTTCTCTTTCAGGCTTGCTGCTGATGCCTCTGGGCACGCAGAGCACCTACTAGTGCGTTCTCGTAATAGAAACTGGGTGTTGGCAAAGCAGTGTACTCCTCAGGATAGAGTGAGATACAACTTGTATGAACTGAGCAAGAATAAATTAGTAGAAGACCTCAGTGTGTCCAGAACTTGTGATTCCTTAATGGTCATTTGTTGTCAAAGTAAAATTGGGGGGTGCTTTTGTTTGTGCAGTGTCCTGAAAAGGTAAATTGTTCTCAAAAGTTGTCACTTGTTTGCTTTTCAGCCTTGCCTCTTATCTCTTAATCTGTTATTTTTTTATTCCAGATGAGTAAGTACAGTTTTGTAGGGCTAGAAGTGATAATACCACCTCTTTATACAGAAGAAAGTAATACTGTTAACAAAATCAGTTCTTGTCATATGAAGATTCACAAAAGGGCTGGGTCTTTGCTCAAGCACTCCATCACGGCAGCTGATGTATAGTTACATAATCTATCTCTAGACTTCAAATTAAATAGAGCAGTTATTTAGATGTTTCTGTCAAAAATGGCTGCTCTAATTAGGCTCAATTGTACTTCCTTGTCAAATATTGCAAAACTGTCAAGGAATTGTGTGTTCATGTGGAAAAGGGCTAGTTAAACAGTGACTTGTCTTACATTGGTTAAATTAACTGAGTTGTCTGGAATTCGTGAGGTTATATCTGCTCATTGTCCTTCAGTGTGATGGGTTTGGGTACACTGCTATAAATCTGTTACCCATTATAAGACTGGAGATTGCTTGAGAAGCCAGTCAAAATAAGATAACATCTTCCCAATGGTGTTGCTGGGGAGTTGTTGTTTTTGTGGCTGAGGGCCAGGAATTCCACTGTGCTTTTGAACTGGTCTCTTGGAAAGCAGTACTTTTCTCTGTGGGACAAATGCTGTCCTTTGCATGGGTTTTCCTGTTTTGGGGCCCTTAGGAAACAGCAGGATAAAGTTCCTGTGTTACGCATGTGAAGTGCTGTGGTCCAACAGAAGACGAGTCTGCTATCGTCAGGCATGCAGCTGAGAGCAACGACGATAAATCAGCGTGCCTTCAGCTTTCTGTCCCGTGGGCTGTAAAAGACTTGAGTATTCGATTAAAAAAAAAAAATCTGATAGAAAAGCAGTAATTGTCAACAGTGGCTGTATTTCTCCATTGGTATGTTCTAGGTTGTATAGAATATGTTGTCACGGCACCGACTTCTGTTTTGAAAGAAGGCGCATTCCTTTTTCTTGCTGGGCCTACTTCTAATTTCTGAGCTTCTGTATAAGGATGTGTATGACAGTTTCTGTCTAATTAAATTTGGTCCGTTCCACTACTCAGCCGTGGGCAAAGTATTTCTGTTCATAAACATCATACTATGTGATGCTTTCTTTTAAAAATAATAAAATTAATTGAATTGAAAGGGACACAATGCTGGCACACAACTACACATTCTAACTCAATTTTTAAGTTTTATTTTGGTTTTTTTTAGCCCTGTTGGATTTTGTAACAACACTGCCTAGGAATTAAATTAGCACATCAGACATGGATTGTTATTAATGCCTTCATCTTTATTAATAAAATTAGAGGTACTTTTTTGTAAAAGGTGGATTCACAGATGCAGTAACAAGTTACTGTGTACATTGATGTAATTGAAATTTGAAGGCAGCAATCCATAGCTTTTGCATCTTAACAGTTCTTTTCATGTCTTTTCATTGTTGAAAATACACAAGCATTCATTCCTAGCATATCTCTTTCCTGTTAATTTTTTCTACAGAGTCATGATGACAAATTTCTAATTCCTTGGCTCTTTTTATGATATTTTTATGTGATATAAAAGCTGCATGAGTCGGATGCAGAACATACTGTGTGGAAACAGCTTGTTATTTGAACACACCAGTCCTAATTTAGCAGAGTAAACACAGAAAACTGCAGTTTGTTAGGTGACTTTCATATGTATTTGTATGTGCGCGAACCTTCCTTTTCAAGCAATTCACAAAGAAATGGCTGGGCACAATTTTTGCCTTTCAAAATCCATTGTATTAGAACATATGTGTGTGTGTGTGTATATATATATATAAGGATGAAGACTGATAAATTGTTTGGAGAAAATGGAACATAATGAGAAAATAACTATTTTGTTTTTCCTTTTACCTTTAGAACAACCTAGGTATCCTGTGGTCTGAAAGGGATGAAATTAAAACTGCGCAAACTTACTTGGAATCTGCAGAAGCTTTGTATAATCAATACATGAAAGAGGTACTGTGTTTATCAATATCGTGGCAGGTCTTACTTTGATGTGCCACTTCTAGTTTTAGTAATCTTTGAAAAGACATATGGTGGAATTTGAGTTTCTGAGCTTTATGCTGGCTGCTATGATACTTCTGAAAAGTGATTTGTACTGCTAGCATAGGAAGAGACAAACTAGAGGATCACTTGCTAATTTCAGAATGGACTTATTTAGGAAAATAATTTTGCTCAAAAATAATGGTCCTTTTTGAAAGCTCTTTGATAATCCAAAGTTGAAGCCAGGTAGAATTTGGCTTTTAATTAAGACTGTTCTTAGTCTTACCTTGGAAATGCTGTAAAAGGTCAATCCATTGCTTTCAGTGGGAAAAGAAAACAAAACTAATATTTGCACGGTTTGCTCTGACCGCACAATATTGCAGAGAGGCAAGTGGTTTAGTTCCATATCCAAGAGGACAATCTTACAAACGGCTAAACCTCTGATGCATATTAAACAACCTTTTGAGTTGTGGATTCTGCTGTTCTGCTCTGTGTCAACAAAGACTCCTTTGTGCTATTTTTAAGCTCTTTGCAAAGCTCTTCCTAGCTGACTTGCCTCGGGGACAGTTCAGGAATGAGCTAAAAACATTTGTGGCCTTAAAGGAGCAGTAGCTGTGTCTCAGGACAGCTGTAAAGCTTGGGCAGAACTTAGTTTAATGAAATTGCAGTTTGGGTTTTAAATGAACTTGGTTTATAGCACGGATTATTTTTGTGGAAGTTTTAGAATGGGTTACTCTTTATCGGTTACTTCCTGCTGTATTACCAGCTTTCTAGCCATGCTGGCCTGCAGTGATCGGAGAGGTAGTGGATCCAGGAAAAAAAGGAAAAAACAGTTGTGCCGAAAAGCTTGTGTGTTTATTTTCTGTCCTCTGGATCGGTTGGCCTGACTAGAGATACTACATCTCTCTACAGATCCTCTCTCTAATTAATTCCTGATGTTCAACTTAGATATTTATACCCAGCCAAGCATGATATTGTTGGCTTCCACATCGCCTCTAAAAGATTCTGGCACTTGCTCTGGTGATTATAGAATTGTACCAGTAGTACCATATATTTCAGTGGATTAAACAATGCTGCCAAATGCTTCATGTTTTTACTGTGGTCTTTTTCTGAAAGGGTTAATTTTAGTTAGTTATCTGCATTTGTTGTTGGGTAAGGGCTAGTGAATATACCTCCTGGGGCTTTGCTGCCTGGCTAGGGTATATACACATGACTGTCAATAAGCCCGCATCAGATCACTTGTTTTTTCCCCAACATTTTTTTATTTGCCCCTTTTATTTCAGGGCATTATATAGTCAAATGTATCTGTGTCTAAAGACTTTGTTTTTATTTTAAAGCAACTACACCAAAAGACTGTTTCTGTGTAACTTTATTGGGCTTCTGTCTTGTTTCTCTGAAAAGACTGAACTGCATTTGACATAATCTGCAAAGAATTAAAAAAAAAAAGAAAAGCAGGGGCTGAGGAAGCTTGTCTAGCTGCTTTATGGTTTATAAGGAGTTCCTTGCAGTGGTGTTTGATCTTTAGGATTTGTACAGCCGTGTCAACATTTGTCATTCAGAAATTATAAAAACGTGAATATACTTTTCTTAACTTTCCCCATTTTTGAGGTGTCAGGAAGCCTTCCTGACTGGGAACCTTTGGTAAACTGTTGGCGATTGAGGCATCTTCCTGAACTGGTGGATTAATTGTTTACTAACTGGGTCTCATTAACTTACAAATGG